CAATAAACTTATGTTTCATACACGGCGCAATTGCTACATTTGTTTTATTATTTTCATTATAATTATTTACCGGGGACAGGGTAAAATATTCTTTTGGTTCAGACATTTTTCATTAAATCAAGATTTGTACTACCATGTTACTTTAAAATGTTCATTTATCTATACCGAATTTCTTGTTGATATCGTTGCGCATACAACGTTGATGTCAGTACGCATACAACGACAGATCTCTATTCACATACACGACGACTAATCACGATCGACCCGTATAGAAATGATCTCATCGAGAACCAATGACGAACAGTTCAGGCGTAACGGACCTTCGTTTTTCGCATTTGTACGGATTTACACCCTAGTCGCGCCTAAAGAAGTTTTACTTCAAAAAGTGTTGTAGGAAAGAGGAATCATTTATTTGTGATGCTATGGACCTGCCTTCGGGCAAACACTATTTATTATTTTTACATATGATTTGAGACTTACACTGGAAGTTCAACTTGTCTTGAATAGCACACATTCAGTGTACCGTATCCTTGGCCTTGAACTCTTATTTTTCTATTCTCATTACCATAGAAATAATTTGCATGAACTCGATAAAAGTTGATTCCCTCAGGTTCCACATTATCCTCAAACATAACATTTTCTCTATTTTCTCCTTGTTCCCATTTTGCATCACAATTGAAATTAATCACACGTCTGGGAACTATAATAAATTATATACAGTAAAAACTAAAATGGAGTCACCGTGTTCCTAGTAAAGCACTAAATAAGGAATATTTGCATCTTAAAGTTTAATCTAAGCAGTATTTTGAAGAACAAATTATAAAAATTTTTCTCTTTTTAAAGGATAAATCATAAATATTATTTGTTTCTTAAAGTGATGCAGTTTTAGCATATTATTGATGACCATCTTCAAATAGCATGTAATGATCATTAAATTGGAAGGTACTAAGAAATACAGAAACTGGCGTTTTAATAAAACATGAACAAATACTGGAAAACAAAACTTACTTTGTCTCATCCTTTCTAATATTGCAACAACGGATGGAGGAGTTTGATGGCTTCCACTAACTGATATTGGGAATAAGTCTTTTGTACTGTCTTTAACGAAAGTAGTAAATCTATCCAAAGAACTAGGAGATAAAACCAAAAATCGCAAATCTAAAAAATATGTTCAAAATTATTATATTTTAAAACACAATTGAAAATTGAATAGATTTAAGATGTATATATAGTTACCAGGAGATTCTTCATTGATTTTCCTCATGTGCTCTTCAGAAAAGTTTACATCAGCTTCACTCAAAGTTGCAGAATTTGCGATCAGTATTATAATTTGAGATCGTCCACCTGCTATTTTTGCTTTATGTTCATATTCCATAGAATCATAAAGTACTGGTTCCAAATTTGTTAAAATTCTCTGGATATCAAATCCAGCTGGGTCTAAAAAATAATTTAAATAATATTGATAACATAAGAGTAAAATATAAGTACATAACGTCTTGAAAGGTAATATAAAATCTATAATTATACTTACGTCTCTGATAAGTGGTTTCATTAAATTGTGCATGAAAATCGGCTGAATAATGAGTTGTGTTGACAATGATAGAAAGATCTTTGGCGTTCATAACTTTTACACTTGAACCAAATTCTCTTGCTTCAATACCATCAACCAGGAGTCTACAAGAAAGAAAAGCCTGTTTTTAGAAACGACTAATGATCATAAAATAGAATCATTAAACTTACGATAAAATTTGCACTATATCACGATAGGGCCAGGATGTGTCTAAAACTATGAGAAGCTCGGTGGAGATTCCTATATTTCTTATTTCTCCTCCAGTTACAGGATTAATCGCTCCGCATGTCAAATCATTCAAACTGCCGGCTGAAAATGAAATATAAATGGTAATATCTATTCCCATATAACAAGACATTAATATTTATTGGACGTGAATGTGATCTAGAATTACAAAAGCATGTGATTAATTTTAACTTGGATGTCGTGAATGCAAAAAATATAAATGTAGTCACTTCAATAATATTGTCTGTACTTATATATTTAGTTTTATAAAATATTTGATCAAATAATAAAAATTCAAATTTTATTTTATTTAGATTAGGCTAAACCAGAAAATAGCGACCCATATTTGACGAGATGCCTAAGAGTACACATTACAAAATATACAATACTTATTTACATCAATATTTTTGTACTAATAGTAAATTAACCATAAATTTTCAAAAAATTAACCATAAATAGAAAAGTGTGTGATACTGTAATAGTATAATATACTTACGAACGTATGATATTAATCTGTCGGCAGCTCTTTGAGCACATTCTTGAATTCTTTCTGGTAGCAAGGATGCTGTAAGTGTTATTTCTTTTTCTAAAACTGTTGCAAAACTGACAGATTGAGATCTCAGAATATCAGTCTTTGCATATTTGGGAAATAATTCGCGCCTGTAGCATGCCTTTTCTTCTCCGGAAAATACTCCGCGCTAAAATAATAATAATAATAAATATATTTTTATATTCTTATTTATATTTTTGTTAATATTAGAACTAGATGAATTAAAGTGGCTTGCTAATGAAAAACGTGTATTTGCTATTAAATGATAAATATACGCCAAAATAATCCAAAAACATTGGTATTGTTTGAAAAACTAATTTTGCCTAAACACTACTTTAAGCAATTTAGGCGTAAGTGAGATTTACGCCTTTATGTTTCAAAATTGAAAAAATTCATCATTTGCTAGCACTGTACAGATGTATTAATTAATTCTGGTACAAATGCGGTTCGTATATACAAAGCACATTCGCATTTTTCTTTAATAATCACCCTATAATTAATTTACGATCTAAATCTTTCTAACTATAATCCATTTTAAACTTACTTCACTATAGTACATGTCCAAAACCTGAGACAATTTCAAAGTATTGGCACTTGAACTCCAAGATTTGATATTTTCACCAATAATAAGACCATCCAGTCCTCCCCGTATTTCAGCATCCGTCATTTCAGATGGTTCTTGCTTGCTCAAGAAGTACCAACGAGGTACACTGGTAGAATTCCAAGCACCAGGAGCTCCAATTTCGATATTACCATCTTTATGAGCTTGGAACAACGCTGCCTCAGCAATATCACCTAAATAATAAAACATTTCACATATTACAAGATCACTCATTATTATATTATATTTTCATAAAGTAATTGAAGTCGCTAATTAGTTAACGATTCCATTGTTATGATATTTTTTTGAAATCTGTATAGATAAGCATCATAACATAATGCGTATATATAATTTATATACATCTATGTGTGTCAATGGGACTCGACCATTTTATTAGCATAAACACTATGGAGATCTCCTTATTTTAGGGACCATTAATTGACTATTTATGGTGCGAAGAGTGCAAAAATTTTTTCATAGAACATATACATATCATATTGATTATGGCAACAAAAATTTAAACTAGTGGGGCGCATGGCATCGTGCCTTAAGGCAAATTGCTGGAACTTCCCGTACCAAAAATTATTTTTTTTAAAATGATTAACATTTTTCATGCGTCTCCGTCTAACGTATAAACATTGGTACGGAACCCATAGGAATGTAAACAAAATTTATACTTATTATTAAAATCTTTATAAAATATCTGATAATTTGATGTGCATATGTCTAATGATCATTTTTGACCGCCAAATAGCACTTTTTTTACTATTTTTACTAGATCTTCAAAACCGCTAGACCTGTCTTCATAAAAATTTGATCAGTTCTTTATCTTGTTAATACAAGTAAAATGTTTTTCGAATTATTCAAATTGGACGCTACGTTCTCTTAAAAACTGAGTTACCGTTTTTGGCACTTTTTGCCCCATATCTTTGGAACGGCTAGACTTGCCTTTGCCAAAAACTAATCAGCACGTCTCCTTATCAATACAAATCGAATGTTTTTTGAATTATTCAAATCGCTTCATCCGTATTCCCGAAATCGTCGATGAAAATTTGTATCCAAACACACATAGACACTCGCACACACACACACGCACGCACACCATACATTCATTTTTTCTAAGGTATGCCAAAATGTTTAGAAGTTCTTAATACGTAAAGATATATACAAAATTTCATTTTCGATTTTTTTGCAATTACTATAACTTGCCTTATGAGAAGTTAATTATAGAACTAGGATAACGTATTACTATGTATTTTAACTTCCCGTAGAATTAGTTATAGTTATCGCAAAAAAAAACAAAAATTAAAACTTTTGCATATCTTCATGCTTTAAGGCCTTCTAAACATTTTAGTATACCTCGATATACGAGGTCTGTTCAAAAAGTACCCGGAATTTTCGTTTTTTCAAAAAAGTATTTATTTATTCGTCTACATTAATGTGGTCCCCTTCAAAGTAGTCCCCCCCAGATATAATACACTTATGCCAGCGTTTTTTCCAATTTTCGAAGCACCCTTGATATTCACTTTTTGATATGTCCTTGAGCACTCTCAGCGATTTTCTTCAATCGAGGAAAACCGCCGTCCTTTCATGGGTCTCTTCAACTTTGGGAATAGGAAAAAGTCACACGGAGCCATATCTGGTGAATTTTTGCACTTTGCAACACTTTATTTCATTTTTTACGCAAAATTTAATACAAATTCTTTGACTTTTCAATTCTTCCATTGTAAAAATCGCCGAGCTCAGAAAAACACGTCGAACCTTAGCGACTACCACAGACAAAGTAAACAGTGAATATAGCTGAAAATTTCATCATACTTTAGGGGCATGTATACCAACACAATAAAAAAAAAATTTTGACAATCAGACACTCCAGACCCGCGAAATTTAATTATTAGTAATTCCGGGTACTTTTTGAACACACCACGTATGTGTGTGTATATGTTTGGATACAATATTTCGTCCACGATTGCGGGCGCATGGAACAATCGATTTGAATGATCCAAAAACATTCGATTTGTTTTGACGGAGGTGATGTGACGATTTGATAAAGGCAGGTTCAGCAGTTTCAAAAGTACGGGGCTATAAGTGCAAAAAACGGAAGTTTTTGAGAAAACGGAGCATCCGATTAAGATAATACAAAAACATTTTACTAGTAAACAAAATTCAAATTATAAGATTGTTATAGATGTTAACAATATGCAAAATACTAAAAAATTAGATTTTGTTTTTTTTATTTCAATTTTTTTAGAACATTCAAAACATTGCAAAATTTTCAAAAATATAACATTTTTCAAAAATATCGAAAATAATTCGGATTTTAAAAATTCTAAAGCTCACTGATATGTACATATAATTGGAATAAAGAATTATAGCGTTGTAAATCTATTGTTTATTGTTTGTGTTTGGTTCGATCACTTTTTAGAAATATGAGAAAAGCAGTACTATGACGACAACGAAATATGTCTCATAAACCTTGGTGATGACTCCGATACAAATTAATATCATTGTAATATATATATATATATATATATATATATATATATATATATATAATGCTTACCGACTAAAGTCGCTGCTAATAAATTATCGATTGATGTTGCAATTACTGTAGGATTTCCTGCTCCGTCCCGAGCATTTGGGTTTGAGGAAGCTGCTAACACATTTCTAACCGTAACCTTCTGCCTTTCCAAACCAGCTGCTATTCCCGAGAGCAAAACACCAGCAGAAACTGAACCCCACCTTGAAATATCAGAGAATTTAATAAAATTGAAGAACTATTCTTAATTTTTGCTTTTGAAAATGAAAGCCTTTGTTAGTTAGTACAATAAAGTAAAAAAAAATATGTTTACACTAGTAACTCGTTTATAAATGTTTTATTTATTTTATTTTTATTTATTAACTTAATGAATCTTTTAAAAATGATACATACTTTATCGTAAGTGTATCGTTTTATTTGCAAAATAGATAAGTTGAATTGTATAAAGGTTTAAATTTTGTATGGATTTTTATTTTTATTTTCATTTTGACCCATGGTAATCTAGATTCTCTAAAATCCACAGTATCCCTAAATTTAAAACTCAAGTAGTATTGGTAATTAAATATTTTCGGGAGTTACGTTTATACCAAATTTCAACAACTAAACAATCTAAATTAACCATGATCACTTGAATTTTCGTTACCATATTATTCATTTCTAAGTGCATATCTATTTAACAAAATATTTATTTGTTTACTTACTTTGTTCTTATGACACCAGATTCAACTGGACATTGACTAATTTGATTATTATTTCCAAATTCCTCGTATTCGATATTTTCTCGAGAGTGGCGATTGCTGCTTGATCTAAAAAAGAAAAAAACATATAATGTTTTCAAATAATCTTATCAGTACTAAGGTAAAAATACAATTTTTATATTAGTATCAGGTTTTACTCTTTACTTGTACCTTATTCCAAAAATAAGGAACCTGATTTCTCATATTTAAATTTACATAATATCATTAATACAAATAAGTTTTGTTTAGAAATTATGAATAACATCAAATATATCAAATATATTCAGAGCTCGGTTTTTGAAATATTGCTAACGCCTATTATCATTATTTTATTAAAAATTTGAACTAATGATGTAAAATGGTGGTAATGCAATTATTCAATCCAAAACCAATTTCGAAAAAAGATTAAGCTCTCTGAGAAACCTATGAGGCGTGATCGTAATGATAAAAATTGAAAAACAAAATTATTTTGTCCCGATCACTTTTAGATGCATTTAATACTAACTTAAATTATAAATTATACTTACACTTTTCGTGGAATTCTTATCGATCTATAGGGAGCAAGTTGTCCACATCTGGAACCTTCATCTCCTCGAACTTCTGTTTCAATAGATGACGAGAGCATGAAATGTAAAGAACACTGTAAAAAGAGCAAATATATATGTATAAGAAAAATTATAGGTGACTGAAACAAGAAATGTAAAAAATATTTTATTATAAGTATCTAAATAAATTAATATAAAAAAGAAAATTTTTATTTGAAATTTTTGGCATCCTTTTAGTAATTTGGGACAGCAGTCTAATGGACCGATCCTCCCGCACAACATACTAATGTTATGGCAAGGTTATGTTATGAAGAACTTTCCATATTAAATATTGACAAAAACCATGTGGTTGCTGAGCAGTCAGGCGTTCTTTCAGGTTGTCAGATAGAAAACCTAACCTAGAAACCGCACAAATGTCTAAAAACCTATCTTAGATAACAGGGTCTTTCTGACCCAGCTTCATAACATCATGTGTAAAACGCTTGAATGCACAGCAATTACATGACGCTTTGACAGTATTCAGTATGATTCATTACCATAATGTATAGAAGTTGGAGCGTAACATAATCTTGCAATAACATTGTTCTGTTGTGCGACAGAATCGGTCAATAAGCCTAAAAACCCTCAATCAATATGTCAAGATCATCCGCAGCTTCTGCTATAGAACTTCGATGATTTTCGAAATCATTTTTTTTACATCATCAACAATATATTTGTCTAGATGTTCATCTTCGGCATCTACTTAGTCATATAAAAAAAGCTTCTACCTCTTGCAAACATTTTATTTACTTATAGTTAGATTCACCGTACTTCATTGCCATCACTTGAAATTTAGAGCATTTGATTAGATTAGATTGGACGTCGAGCATAACAGAATATGGTTACTTTTTTATATTTCAAAAATATTACTAACTATGCTATGTACTTAATTAGAATTAGTTAGTTTTTTAACAAGTAAAATATTTGCTGAAGAACTGAAGACGATAGAAAAATACAAATCATCTGACAATTGCCAGTGATTAATTGAAGGTCCTATCTCTTGAAATATATAGGAATCATCCCTCATTGGATTGCAAGTAATAAATCAGTGTATTTATTTCATAAATTTCATAAATGCAAAAGTTTTACTTTTTATACAATTGTCTTACCCTTTCTATATCAGTAAGAGTATCATTAGGAAAAGGCTTGCCACTATTTGGGAGAAGTCTTGAAAAAATCAGAGCATGTTTTTCAAACTGCTGGCCTGTTGTACTATAAGGAATAACAGCACTGGAAGGAGCAACACCTTCGGCTTTTTTGATACCGTCAACTTTGAATCTGTAACATATTTACAAAAATCGGTGAGTCATAAAAAATAAAGTGAATATCTATAATCAAGAATTTGCAAAACATCGAAATTGTTTTATTAAGAAGACGCATGAAAACATGTGTTTAAGTGAGTATGATCTGATCAAATTATTCCTAATGAATAATATTATGCGTAATTTAAATATGATCAATATAGTAGATACTCTATATTTGTCTATAATATATTTTGCAAAAATTGGTGAGTCATAAAAAATAAAGGTAATATCTATAGTGAAGAATATGCAAAACATCGAAATTGTTTTATTAATAAGACGCATGAAAACATGTTTTTTCAAGTGAGTACGATTTGATCAAATCATTTCTAATGAATAATATTATGCGTAATTTAAATATGATCAATATAGATACTCTATATTTGTCTATAATATATTTTGCAAAAATTGGTGTGTCATAAAAAATAAAGTGAATATCTATAATCAAGAATATGCAAAACATCGAAATTGTTTTATTTAAGACGGATGAAAAAATGTTTTTAAGTGAGTATGATCTGATCAAATCATTCCTAATGAATAATATTATGCGTAATTTAAATATGATCAATATAGATACTCTATATTTGTCTCTATATAATATATTTTGCAGACACTTGAGCAAAAATAATTGATTTCACAATTGTATGTGACTAATGATATTGATACAAAACAAAAGATAATGATTTGATATCGATAAAGTTATCAATCACCGTTGTTTTTGAGTTCGGTTATAATTATCAAATAATGTTTTGGCATATAGTCTCAAAATTAATGGTTGATAATTTTTAGACAGATTTTTACACGTATCTAAAAAAAGATTATTTTCAGTGGAGCCAAACATAGATTTATATCAAATATTCCTTACTTACATCAATGTATGAAAATTAAAATTTAGTTTTTTTCAAATTTTTTAGGATTAAAATTTTATTATGATTTTTTGACAAAAAGCATATTTTCAGCTCCGTTGATAATTTTATTAATATAACACTAATATATGTAATTCTTTGCAAAGCTATGCGTCTTTTAAAAGTATCTATGATTATGTATAAATGATTTTGGTAAATAAATAAATATATAACTCCTTTTATTATATTTAATTTACCTATATAATAATCCTAGGACGAGTTCTCTCAAACTGAGCCTGGTTTGTTTATCACTTTCAACTTTTCTTATAAGGTCTATCAGTGTTGTTAAAGTTGCAGGCAGTCTGTTGTCTCGATCCAGAAGTTTGGGGTTTGTGTAACATTCTACCAAAGAAGCGGGTACCCTTTTCTGTGTATTTTCTTGGGCATATACTGACACTAAAATACTACAAACTACGAGGAAAATGCCTGAAATGTACAGAAAAAATATTTTTAAGAGATGAAAATAGTGGTGTGTGATTTTATGCATTATGACATAATTTTGGAATTCTTGATCAATGATGGAAATAAAAACAATGCAACAAAAATAAAACCAAAAAAAATTAATTTTAAGAAACCTGCAGTCTTGCTTTAAAATAACTGATGAACCAGATGAACCAAGTTATATGTTTACTATTTTAGCAGAGTAAGTACTACTAAGTTTGTAATGACTACTAATTTTCTATCAGAAATATCGAATAGGAAATATTAAAATTTTAATATACTATAATTTTCCAAGCTCATATGTTTATGTAACGTATCAATTAGCAATTACTTGGATTCAATTAATATAGTATAACACTAAAAAATATATGTAATATTTTTTCAGATAGTGAAAAATTTATAATTAAAAACAAATGCGTTTATCAACAGTCAGCAGCTAAGTTTTTAAATTAGTTAAAAATACTTTTTTAAATCCTCACGTTTTTAGTCTCAATTTGCTCTTGTTCAGTAGACAACTACAAAGTATAATAAAAATAATATAATGAATATTTAGATTAATCTATAAAAAATATTATACAATTATATATAAAAAATATAACAATTAATAATGCAAATTACAACGATTAAAAGTGTATGAAACTTTCAACATGAACAATACATAATATAAAGAGAACCCACACTTCAAACATTGATGATTTTTTATCATTAAAGCAATTTGCAAAGCAAAGGTCCAATTTGACTTTAGGCAATTATATCGTGAAAACCAAAATAATTGTATCACAACAAGTAACACATATCAAAGAAATAACTATCTGACTATGTTCAATAAAACTCCCAGCTAACTCATCATTCTAAAATGTTTTGTCTTTGTTGGTGTTCAAAAACATGTCACCTGGACCTTCTTAACCCATAAGCGGGGTGAAATGAGACAGCCAGTAGACGAACATATCCAACGTCTCATTATTAATTTTGAATGAATTTTACAAAAGAATAGCTACATTATTCAACCAATGCAAAATTTAAATTTTATAGATGCATTTTCTGCAGAGATAACACTGTATATAACACTGATCAGGCAATTTGTCAGAAAAATTTATCAATAGAGTTGAAATTTCTATTTCATTTATCTCTTGTAACATTGCTTTTTTAAAACTTAATTTACTTTTTTATTTACTATTTTTTATTGATTACATCTCTGCCAGGGTAAAGGTTCAGTTGGTTCTTTTTACCCCACCCACATATTATGTAAAAATACAGTTGAATCTAACTCAAAAAAATGCTTTACATCTTATAAAACAATTAAATAACGTATACTTAAAAATTATATTAAGGTCTCGTAAACTAAACAATAGAGCTCACAACTATAAAACTAATAACGAAAAGAAATATTTGTGCTAAGGATTTGGCGTTTTTCGACATCAACGTCATGAGAATCAAGGTGATGGCTGATTACGCGTAGTTTTTTCTCTATTTTCAAATATTGTTGTTAAAAAATTATCAACTTCACTCGTTTGAAATATCGGTGGTGAAGCTTTTTACTCTCAGATCTTCAAGTTCCGCTCTACCTTATTTAATTAAACTTTTAATAAACGAAAAACAGTTTGTCGATCCACTAGTTATACTACATACAAAGTATCAAACTACATATTTTGATTTACTGACTTATTGCTCTATCGAAAAATGCAGAATAAAATATCATAAATAGTGAAAAAAAAATGAGATTGTGTATTGTTTTGTGAAATTAGTTTTGTACGTCTAAAAGTTGTAACTAAATGCAAAATTTCAGTATTATTCAATAAAATATTTCTTAGGATTCTTATCACCCCTTCGATGATGATTTGCAAAAGATAAACTTTGCAAATAAGCGATAGATAACTTACTGAGGTCGTAATCGCTTGTGTAAACTATAATATAATATTTTATTCCCTCAGTGAGTCATTTCGACTCGTGGTCGTTTTTCTCTTTGTATGAATAACACAAAAATCGCATGCGATAATGTGAGATGCGATTCAATATTTTACACAATGGGCGGACAGGACCAATGTTCAAATCATACAATTTTCAGAATCAATTTGGTGAGTCATAGAATTCTGTAAATTGAAAATGTGTTTGCGTATTTTGTAATTCAAACAAATAACAGAATACAATAAATAAATCTGAAATTAATATACGAGAGTAAGTCAAAATGTGATAAACTAACATTTTTTTAATTTAATATTTTTAACTTCCCGTAGGGTAAGTTATAGTAATCGCAAAAAAATCGAAAATGAAAATTTTTATATATCACATTTTGTCTCTATTCAGTTAAAGCAGTACGATTGCTGTAAAAAAGTTCAGAATTGTCAAAATATGTCAAAATACAGAAAAAAGTAATTTTTTGTCAAAATAGTTTTTCAAAAATCTAATTTTTTCGAAATAATTTTTTTTCAAAAATGTTAATCGTTTTTAAAAAAACAATAATAATTTTTGGTAAGAGAAGTTCCAGCAATTTGCCTTAAGGCACGATGCCATGCGTTTTATTTTGAAGTGAACCACATAACATATTTATTATAAATGTGTTGAAAAAAAGTCAAAGACTATATCAAATTGATTAGAAGAATAAGTGAGTTCCTCTGTACAAATACAAATAAATTGAAAATGAACAAATTAAAAACTTTGTTTATGGTAATATTAGCTTATTCTATCATATAGGTTATTTTAGCTCGTCTATTTCTGGTCAAATCTTGTTTACGCCCTTGTCAGATAATATTTTAATGATTGTAATATTGTGGTTTTCTTTTTTATATAGCCAAATTAGGCTATATTTTAAGTAACTCTTCAACAATTCAATAACTATTGGTAGTAATTATTTATTTGTAGCTCGTGAAAAACCGCTGAATGTTTGTAAGGGAGAATAAAGGAGCATTTCCATCAAAACGTAGTTTTATTTTAAAATCTGATTTTTGTTCAAAACTATCCGTATGGTAAAAATGAGAAAAAAATCCTAAAACGATTTGAAAGTTCAAAATCAAAATTTTGAAATATATCAGATAACCTTAGCAAAGTCGTTTCTTCCCAATTTTTCATAAAAATTGTTTAAGTACTTCCCAAATCGCTAAAGCTTGCAATATGTAATTAATTCTAGGATTTAAATCTTTAACAGTCACTGGTTTCGGTAATTAACGTTTGTTGCAATTTAATAAATTATCTATTTTTTTTAAAAGTATCAGCAGAAAATTATGTTTTGTAGTTCTTGCAGAAGGTTCTAATCATTTCATCTAATAATTTGCTTTACACTAAATTACTCAAGACTATCAGTCAAAAATTGATAAAATAAAAGGGAAATAATCTACGTTTTTTTCTACATCTCACTCTACTAAAAAAAGTACATTTGCATATTTTCAACATACAATACCTCGTGTCTTTTCCTTAAAAGTTGAAATTAGTATATTAGTACATTTTTATGTAAGGACTTCGAAATGGTGTAATCCCTTAAATAATAGAGAGTAGACGATTTTGTGGCCAAACCGAAATTATCATATAATAAAGATGCAATTGTTTTATTATTTTGATAATAAATAATAAGAATTAACTAACTATTGCAGACTTGCAATAAAATTTATTTAAAAAAATATGTTTGAGCAGCAATTAAAACAAACTTATACTTGTCTTCAACAAAGTTTTTTAGAGAAGGTGATCTTAATTGTCTATATTTTGATTTTTGTTTATTAGAAGACAATCGAAATACAAGTATACGAACCAATAAAATATCAAAAGACAAAGATATTTTCAGAAGCTTGCCCCATTGTTTCTTTTAATGGTGAATATATATTTTAACTTATTGCAGCAATGTCGGAAAGAGATATTTGCACATTAAAACATATATTGATCTTTATTTCTCAATTAATGTGGATAAGACTGGTTCAAATAAGCACAATCAAATAAACTGACAATATCTTCAACAAATAAGTCTATAAATTATACACATCACTGATATATTTTTAATTTTATTTGAACATTTATTGATTTTTAAGTAAATTTTAAAATTTTCAAAAGTTTTCTATAAATGATTATTTAGCAAATAGAAAAATTATTTTACAAAATTGCAAATATAAGTATATTAATGCTCCATGCATAATATCAATCATAATTAGACGCAAAAGCTTTCAAGTACAAAATATTTAAAATATTTCATTGTAGTATGAATCATCCAAAAATTCAATGAAAAGAGAGGAAGTCAAACGAGATTTTTCTTGTTGACCTGAATTATTTGAAATTCTTCTGTTACATGAATCACCATAAGCGGCTAAATGCCTGAAAACTGATTCATATCTACAACAGTGAAAATTGCCCTAAACTATGATAACAATTGTACGAATGATAAGGCGGACTTTGTTGACATAACGGCTTCAAATGCCATACATGTTGGAGATGTGATAAACAGACCGAGTTTTTTTTAAAAAAAAAACAGATATTAAAAAATATTATAGCAACAATCAAGATCTTACGTCCTATAAGCTGTTGGGCTCAAACTTCTCCTTAGGTCATGTTTTTAGTTGGTAACCCAACGGTTGATCCATCCATATTTGATAATTTTATTATTATATTTTATCTAATAGGGCTGACTAATTATTCAATTTGGAGTAGCGAAACCTGGTAAGAGCTATTTTCACTTAACAAAAATTGATAGTAATATATTATAATAATAAAATAATAACATGCCATTCTGATCTCAAATTATTTCATAAACTCTCGTTTCTTCGTTATTGAAGAGTTTTTCACTTGAAATATTAAAATCATTATGACAAATCAATATCAGAAAATTTATTTTTGATTCACATACAATTGATTCAGTTTGAGTGTGGCATTTTATTTTTTCATATGAATTTTGTTTTAATGTATATATTTTTCTCGTGTTTTTAGCATTGAATTATTTTTTGAAATTGTATAAGCATATGTATCTGCCACTATTCACTTAAGGTTTTATTAATTTATAGTTTATAGTTCGTTTAAAGATAACGGAATTAACTCACTAAATAACGAAAAATATTCATCATTGAACTAGTAAATTTTCTGTGCATATGAGAATAAATATACCGTGTATTTGAATTAAACAAGTATTTAAGTTTATTTAATTAAGTTTTTATTTATTAACTTCCCGTAGGGTAAGTTATAGTAATCGCAAAAAAATCGAAAATGAAAATTTTTATATATCTTTACGTTCCAGAGGTTTCTGAATATTTTGGCATACCTTAGAAAAAATGGATGTATGTGTGTGTGTGTGTGTGTATGCATGTGTGTGTATGTGTGTGTGCGTGTGTGTGTGTGCGGATACAAATTTTCGTCGACGATTTCGGGAACACGGATGAAGCGATTTAAATAATTCAAAAAACATTAGATTCGTATTGATAAGGAGACGTGCTGATTAGTTTTTGGCGAAGGTAGGTCTAGCCGTTCCGAAGATATTAAGCAAAAAGTGCCAAAAACGGTAATTCAGTTTTTAAGAGAACGGAGCGTCCGATTTGAATAATTCAAAAAACATACGAAAACAGCAGGTCTAGCGGTTTCGGAGATCTAGTAAAAAAGGTAAAAAAAAATGACATCTGGCGGTCAAAAATGATCATTAGACATATGCACATCAAATTATCAGATACTTTATAGAGATTTTAACAATAAGTATAAATTTTGTTTACATTTCTATGGGTTCCGTACCAATGCTTATCCGTTAGACGGCGGCGCGGCGCTTACGCGCTTCGATTTTTCGTCTCTATGCAGTTAAAGCAGTACGATTGCTTTGAAAAAGTTCAGAATTTCCAAAATATTTCAAAATACACTTTTCTTCAAAAAGTATTTTTTTCAAAAAAAGTAAATTTTTGTCAAAAATTTATAGTTTCTCAAAAATCTATTTTTTAGAGTAATTTTTTTTCAAAAATGTTAATCTTTTTAAAAAAAAATAATTGTTGGTACGGGAAGTACCAGCAATTTGCCTTAAGGCACGATGCCATGCGCCCCACTAGTACCCATTCTTATTTAAGTTTAAAATATCCAGTGATGCTTTTGAAAATATTGGTTAAGTTAGATTTTTTTGATCTGTTTAATCTTCACCCGAAAAGGACAAGACCCACTACCACATGTCACAACCGTACCCAACGCAACTTTTAAAAACAAATCTTCGTTATGACTTAGCTGAGTTATCTACGGTTTTGCTTTTTTCTCTTGGACCCTATCTCAAAATCAGTATATTTTAGCTGTTATGACGACTACCGTACCCTGGCATAACCAATGCTTAATTCAAGTGAAAAACACGTTTTATTATATTTGAAATGAAGATTTCATAAAATTATCATATTTTTCGAGAGTGTTAAAGAATTTTCCGAACATTACATCAAGTTATTTTAAAAGTTTTACTTATTTTTAGTGACGTAATATCTATTTGTTAAGGCATGAGCACCTGCGGATTGAGTATATATGATACAATTTTATCAAGGTAGATAACGAGTTGTAATACGGCGGTATAGATTGCAATGAAAATTGTAAAATCTACGAGAATATTTCATATTTCAAGAAAATGATAAAGTTTACTACGTTAAGTTCACAGAATTCCATATAAACATTATCCTCCTGATTCCATATACAATGTGTATAACATACTTATTAAAAAATCATCATTATTGTAATAGTTTTTTTTTTAAATTTCATATATAGGACAGTTAAGATAAAGTATAATAAAATCTGATGAAAAAAAAAATTCATCTTCTTCTCATCTGTCAGGCAATAATTTTGTATAAAATACATAATTTCTTCATACGCATCCATAATTTTCTCATACAGGGTAGAGCGGGGCACAAAAGTCCAATTTGACTCGGAGCAATTATATTGTGAAAAGCAAACCAATTATGTCACAACAAATAACACATATCAAATAAACAACCTTATGTTCACAAAAACTACCAGCTAATTGAATATTGTAAAAAAATTTTTCTTTGCTATTTTTCATAAAAAATGTCACCTGGTTCATTTTACCCCATAGGCGAAATAAAATGAGACGGGCACGGGGCAAACAGGTCAAATATCTTATTTTTAATTTTATAAGAATTTGACGAAATAATAGCAGCATTATTCAACTAATGCAAAATATAAATTTCATGGATACATTTTTTACAGAGATATCACTGTATATAACCTTGATCTGGTATTTCGTCAAAAATAATCATCAAAAGAGTTAGTATAACTATTTAAATAAAAAAATACTCAGATTTCAAATTTGCCAAAAATATACGATTTGCCCTAAGAAATAACATTTATGTGAATGTGTAGCATTGTGGATTAATAACATTATTGCATTGTGGATTACTAACATTATTGCTAATAATTTATTTTGTATTTGTTTTGAGAATGTTCATAAATTTTTATGCAAATTTAAAATAAAAATTGTCATAATTAGTCAACAAATTTACACTAACTTCCCCAAAAAAGTTAAAAAAATATACATGAAAACGCGACTTGTTTTTTCAGGGTTGAGTATTTTTACATTCTATCATTAGACATAATTACTTAAATCAAAATTTCGTTTATATAAGAAATATGCCATCTATGGATTTATGGGTCAATTAATTTGGGAATTGGGCCACTAATGACGATATTTACAGAGGAATTAGATGGATCACAATTTCACATATCTACTCAAAAATTTAAATTGGAAGCAAATTGTGGTTCTATACTTTTTCCTTCAATAGAACTGTGTATTTGAAAAATAGAAAATATTAATTAAAAATATTTGCTCTTTTAAAACAGAACTCTATTTTACATACGATTTTCGAATTGCATGCCATTTATTTTTAGAACTCTGTACTTGTCAGAAATAACTATTGTGATACGAATTCATAGCAAAATGAGAACAATATTTTGGAATAAGGTAAGAATTTGATTCATTGGGTACCAAATTTTAATTTTGACGCATCTCTACTTGACCTACTTAGTAAAATTATTTCTTTGCTTCTATAAAGGATTTATGTCAACACTATCCAAACATACACAAATACACATGGAGGCAAGAACATTATATATTCAAAATATCCCAAAATCAATGAATTCAAAATGTAGAATCAGAAACTATACACAGTGTGAGATCTAGCTCGAACATGTTATTCAACTTGGATCAACTTATATTTTACCTTTTCCTAGCACAGAATTAGTTATCCACATTTTGTAGCACTTGAATTAAACAATTACAAATTATGCACATAGGACATTAATAATATATTGCGATTCTTTACAACACTGATCAAAGTATGAAATGATAAAACATTATTCTAGTTCAACCTGTATCATGAAACTAATGTGAATGATAAGATAACTAATAACCTGATAACCAAAACCAAGCCCAACGTGTAGTAAGTGAAGGCAAAAATTGTATTTCTGATACCAGACATTTTTTTAGGATTATGATTTGACTTGTAAAATGATGTGTAATAATGATAAGTGACAAACGATCACAAGAAATAAGTTTATTTTCTTGTTATTTAATTAGTCATTTCAGCTAAAATATGATCGATTTTGTTTTTTTTGAAGAGAGGTAATTTTGTAAAGAAATATTTTGACTGAACTAGAAAATCAGTGTCACCTCCATCAAGAGCCACAACACACGTTTATATTATTATAACTGTTTATACACTTAAAAAATATTGGAAGTAGTATTTAGTTAAACTTGTATTTAGACATAATAAAATCGAAAAATAAATTTCAAAATTTGCTCAGCTATTCCGTTATTAATAATTAATTCTTTTACGTACACAGGTTTTATCTTTTTAAAGTAGGAGTTAAAATAAAGTATAAGAAATTATACTAAATTTGAGTATTAATATGAATATTAATTTTACAATTTCAGTAAAAAAAAATTATACTAAAATTAAGTATTAATATAGAGCTTCTATTATATATTATACATATTAAAATTTATTAATATTAGTATATCAATATATTAACCCTTTCGACTCGGATGCCGCCGGCAAAATTCATATAAATCTCGATTTTAGCGAATGGAAAGAGTTAAAGAATACTATTTCTGTAAAAATGGTAAGATTATATTTTTTTGTAAATATTGGCTAATTTGTAATCATCGGTTAAATAGAAAGTTAAATAGAAAAAAAAATTAAAACAGGATTTGCAAATTACATAAATTCAGTACACTTAAAAAGACTTGAAGTTACAAGTTCGTAATTAAATTGAATTGCTTTTTTTTTAAATCGTTTATATTAAGAATAAATAAATTTAAAATAATTACTGTTATCACTCATATATTAAAACAAAAGCTTTGCTTCTTTAATTGGCCAGCTTAAAATAAAAGTGGGTGGAAATGTAGATCAGTTTAAAAAATAAGGCTAAAATGGTTTATGTACAATTTAGTATAAAATTGACTAGTGGTGAAAAATTGATAAACTATTTAAAAATATTTAATAATTAAATATTAAAATTTAAATATTTTATTTAGCCGATAATTACGAATTATTGGACGACATGTTTATTTACATAAACTATATGAATTTCTAGTGCTTAAGCAATTATAATTGTTTTTTATTTATAACAATACAACTTCGAGATAATTTTAAAAATAAAATATTGATATACTACCAACTTTTCTGAACTGTAAGGCAAAGTAAATAAGTAGCAAATTGATATGATAAATATAAACAAATGGTTTTGTTCATATTATTCCGTATATTATATATCTTTATATTTGTTAAATTTTTATTTAGTTTTGTTTATTTCTTTAAAAAATATACTTATGCCTAATGTCTAATTATGACATTAAATAGAAAAAATATTAAATTTTAAACCCTTTCCACTCGCAAATTGCGAGATTCATATGTATTTTGCCGCCCAAGCGGTGGGCATCCGAGTGGAAAGAGTTATATTTTATTAATGCTATAACTAAAAATATAAATTATAGCATTAAATAGGAAATGTTAGTATTAATTTTCAGAATATTTTATTGCCTGCCGGCTTAGATATGCAGTTTACGAGTATCACACACATGTCCTCGGTAGTATAGTGGTCAGTATCCCCGCCTGTCACGCGGGAGACCGGGGTTCGATTCCCCGCCGGGGAGGATATTTTTTATTTATATTTTTTGATAGAATTTGTTTTTTTATGTAAAATGAAACGACCTGTATTTTTTTTAACAATTCTTATAGCAATTTTATAACTTCTATAAACAAATTCATAATTCTATAAATTGAACTAGTGGGGTGTATGGCATGGTGCCTTAAGGCAAATTGCTGGAACTTCCCGTACCGTAACGAAATGTTTGAGGAATACTGAATGTTTTCAAATAGATTATTATAAATATTGTAACATTGTTTAATATTTATAATAATTATCTAAACTGAATTGCAAATTTAAAATTATTTGTTTAAGTTATATTAGAACTTTAGTCAGAATAAAAATAAAATCTGAATTATTTTCGATATACAAAATAAACTAAAAAAAAAAAATCCAAAATCAATTATTTTGTTAAGGCAAGCAGAACGTTCTTTGAATCATTTGAATCGGACGCTTAGTTCTCTCAAAAACTGCCATTTTTTACATATTTAGCTCCGTATCTTCGAAATGGCTGGGCGTGCGTTTGCCAAAAACTAATCACATCTTCTTCCAATCATTACTAATTGAATGTTTTTTAAATCATTCAAATCGGATACTTCGTTCTCTCAAAAAGTCGATTTCTATTTTTTGCACTCTTTGCTCCGTATCTCCGAAACGGCTGGACCTACCTTCGCCAAAAACTAATCAGCTCTTTTCCCTATCAATAGGAATCGAATGTTTTTTGAACCATTCAAATCGGTTGATCCGTGCGCCCGCAAACGTGACTGTAAATTTGTATCCATACATACACACACACACATCCATTTTTTCTGAGGTATGCCAAAATGTTCAGAAACCTTCAAAAAAAAAAAGAAATATGTAAAAAGTATGTTCTTCTTCGTATGTATTTTATTAAATTTTAATTAAAAATTTGCCCGAGGGCAAATTTCTGGAACTTTTCGTACCGTAACTTGAAATGTTCAAGAGCTCAGAAAAAAAAAACATTCATGGTGAGTATTTTGAATGTTTTTTTTTTGATTTTTGAAAATTTTTAAAAATTTAAGTATTGAAAAAATTGCCTGTTTTGAAAATACTAATATCTCTTGAAAAGTGTGTGATATCCATGATTTATACTGTCGAAAATATCTTTTATTTAAAAAAAAATTTTTGTATCTTCGAAACCGCAGAACCTGCCTTTGCAAAAATTCTTCATTATGATGCCAATACAAGTAAAAAGTTTTCTGAATCATTCAAATCGGATGCTCCGTTCTCCCAAAAACTTAATTGCCATTTTAATGCACTCTTTGCTTCGTATCAACAGGAATTGAGTTCTTTTTGAATAATTCAAATCTGTTAATCCGTGCTTCCGAAAACGTGGACGAAAGATTGTATCCATATATACGGACATATACACACATGCATTTTTTTTAGTTGTAAGGTATGTCAAAATGTTCAGAAACCAGTGAAGCGTAAAGAAAATTTTATTTTTGGGAAGTTTATAACGTAAATGTTATTAATAAAATATGTATATATAAAATATGAAAATTGTTTCATAATCTCTCATACCAGACACGTCTGTAATAGTGTAATAATATATAAATAATAAATAAAAAAAAAATATTAAAATTAAATATATTATTCCATATAAAAAAAAGGATTATTAAAATTTTATATAAAAGGTACTACCCAAAGCAGACCGACCCTGTAAGCTGAGATTATCAGCTCTAACTCGATTCAGGAAAGAATAGTGCGAAAGATTTTGCATTGCCATTGCACACCGCATTACCCAAAATGGGCTATTGAGTTGGAAACATATTTGAGATCTATACTTTCAAGTAAAAATGGACATGGCTGCTGCACGATGTTAGGTTGTTCAAAGCACGATGTTAGGGGTTCAAACTCACGACCCTGTGAGCTTAACCATTACACCACAAAAATTTTATATATAAATATATTATTTAATGAAAAAATATGAATATAAATTACTAAAAAAATTAATATTATTAATAAAAAAATTAGAATTATTAGAGAAATATTTTATTACATATAACTAGTGTGTTTGAGTCTACATGTAAGTGCATGTGCGGGCGTATGTATGTACGAGTGTATGTGTAGGTGCCCGTATGTGTGTTTGTATGTGCTTGTAAAAGCAGCATAGTTTAACATTATTATGTTTCATTACTATATAATTAACTGTATATAGCCAATTGACGTATAATAAATAAATAAATAAATAAATAAATAAATAATCTACAATTAAGAAATTTAGATTTAATTTTTGCAAGCGGGCGCAAAGAATTAAAATGCACGATCTATGAATTAAAATGCACGCTCTATTAAACTGCTAAATTTAGTTTATAGCATAAACAGAAAGGTTCTCAAATGTAATAAAATATGTTAATTAATTCAAATAATATATATGTATTTTATTTAGTATTAAAATATGTTTGTAAAACTACTTCGACGAGGATGGGATTCGAACCCACGCGTGCAGAGCACATTGGATTAGCAGTCCAACGCCTTAACCACTCGGCCACCTCGTCACACGGAAATCTGACTACACGAGGCATATAGGAGCTACGTGATCCTAACAAAATACGACTAAAATGCAACTATAGTCGAAAATTAATTAAATTTAATTATTATTATAGTTGCAAAATTAAAAGATTTTACTACTATATAAGAGTGGTTTAAATTGATTTGATACGATCCAAAATAAAAATTGTTGCACATAATTTTCTAGAATTAGTTTAAGTAAACAATTCAAAGAATCTATATGATAAAGGTAATGAAAAAATGTGTATATATAGCAGATAAGTTATCAAACTTATCAATCAACTTATCAATTGTGTGTTTTAATAAGAATATTGCGCATCATAATATTGTAGTGAATATTCGAACCTTTCAAATTAATTTTTCGTACTGCTAAAGAGATGACACAAGTATATGAAGTATATAAATTGTAATTTGTATCAGTTCAGAAAATGTGTATTGCCCGATGTGATAAAAAAAAACAAACTAAGAATCCGAACTAGTAGTGCACGGCATTGTGCCTTAAGGCTAATTATTGGAACTTACCGTACCAAAAGTAAGTTTTAAAAAAACTTTGCATTATTTTTATATTTTGATTTTTTATTGAAAATAACGGCTGGACGTTTTTTAACTTCCCGCAAGGCAAGTTATAGTAATCACAAAAAAA